TTTTCTAATAATAACTTACATAATAAAGCTTTCACATTATATCTCAATTTAATCCATATAAACACTTTTCTTTTAGGAAATTGAAAAAGTTCTTTCAGTGGAAATAGACCCACCTTTTTTTAATTTAATCTATTAAGTTATTTTTATGAAAGATAAGTGGAAATTAGAACCACCGCCTAGTTATGTGCAAACTCAGACTAAAATTACAAAAATAAAAGAAATCCAAAACGATGCCAAAATTACACTATGTCTGACCCCAGGATGACTCAACTTGAAAACAGATGTTTGCTGATAGTTAAGGAAATATATAAGAGCTTAGAAGGAAACAAGTTTTCAACATAAAACACCTTAATTGAAGCTCTAGTGACATTGATGATCTCGATTATATCAAAGAGAAACACGGAAAATAAAAGAAAATTGATAAGACATTCACCTTTACAGTTCATCCTTGATAGTTCAGTAATTAACGATTTCATTTCGGATGAAATTGATGATAATCAAGAACTTCTTTGATATTATGATAATTAACATTGTGTAAGAAAGATAACCTTAAAAATAATTTCCTGATGATCTTTACCTTTTCTTTTACAAATAATTCTCAAAAGCATGTTATTATAATGTTTTGGTCTATTCTGAGATGTACACGCAAGTAGAATTTTAACCTTTAAATGACGGACACCATCAACTGATGTTACATTAGAGATCAGTAGATATTATCAATTGATGATTTAAACTTTTTCTAAAGTACCATTTATCGATGATTGGATTCTTTTCTAGATTTTGTTAGATGGACTGTTTTAATTATTACATATTATATTCTTCGGCTTAATTTACTCAACTTTAATGTCGCGAAGAAAAGCAACTGTAATTAATGAAAGAAATATGAGTAGAAAAGTTTATGTTAGCAATAACGAAAACGAAGAAATTAGTTCGACATATTGGGTTGCCAAATGATTGTTGAGCGGCCTTGAAACAGATACCATTCCAATAATTAATAACAAGAAAAAATAAAGACAGCTTGGGAGAAATCAGAACAAAAATGAAAACTTTACTTTCTAAAAGCGACAATATAGCAACAAAGTTTTAAAATGTATTACATATCTTCTCTCCAACATTGAAAAGTGTTGTCTCTATTCATAAGTCAAGAGCACTACTTCACCTAACCTCAGCTCACCCAAATAGGCTTCTACAGTAGAGCTTATTTTTTTCTTTTCGATTTGAGCTGATTACTAACGTGCGTAGAATGATGGTTTGAGTTGTATGGGGATTTTCCTATAGACGAAAAATATACTTTAGGCACGAAATAAAAAAGGACTTATTCAGTATGAAAAAATATTTATTTACAATAATTTATGCGAAAAAGAAGATAAGTGTAGAAGCTTGCTCAAAATATTATTTTAAACGCCTAAAGAAATCAAGCGAGGTAGAAAGAATTGTTCATAAGAAAACGGGGATTTACTGTAGTAGGTGGATTTATAAAAATCCTAGGTAGAGAGTATAATGTGTCAGCGGAAGTGTTGACAAATTTTGTTGAGCGGTTATGGGTTTGATTGGTTAGCATAGCGGGAGAGTCTGTTGTTGAACAGGAGTTGCCCAGTAATTATTGTTTGTGGAAAAAACTTGCAGAAGCTGGTACTGCGTTGTAGAATTATAAATGAAACGAGTGAGTTAACATGGTATTATTGGTTCAGTTGCGTGTTTTTTGTTTCAGACAAACATGTTCAAAATTGTTTTTTACGTTTTTGTATGCTGTCTTTGAGTTGTTTACGGTCTATCTCGAAATCCAGTATCCCCTTTATCAATTCATTGCTTACTCATCTCATCTATCCTGATTACTTATGCTGAAATGAGTTGTGATGAATAGCAAATAAACCTTATATCTGTGTCGATCGGCTCACTAATCTACTTTTAGAATTGTATCACGTTTTAAATTCCCTCCTTCTGTTTGGTTGAAAATAATCTTAAGAAGGCGTTCTTTTCTCAAACCATTTTTCTAGAACATTCTTTTTATTACTCTGAATCAGATATAGTTTTGCTATAATCAGACTAAGAACACCTCATTGGTTGAAAATGTCTTCGCTTTACGTACTGGAAAAACACAAAGAGACGTATTTTTATCACATAAATCTTTATAGTTACGATGAAAAAAACAACTAAAATTATGTCGAGATTTCAAGTCCGACTGTTTGAGGCAAGGGAAGGTAGAAAAGCTATAATGGCAACTATTAGCATTTGTAACGAAACTCAGCGAAGAAAGAAAGAAATGATAACGTTTAGTCTCGCGGGTGGCAATCATTTGTGTGAAAAGAATTGCAACAAAAAACGCTATATTGTTGCCTACAAGTATTTCTCCTTGTAGAAGTAACGTTTGGAAAAAAGATTTAGGACTCTTATTAGCAGTTTCGTTAACATCCAGTCCGCTTCAAAAAAGACAAAGAACGGACGTAAAGAAGGAAGAAGAAAAAAATTATTACTTTGACTATTTTTTTTTGCATTTTTATATCTCTCTTGGAACACATATACAATAAATTGACTTCCCTTCAATCTGACGATTTCGACTGAACTCATTTCAATAAATCTTGTGTGAATAATATAATGAAAGATATTTTCGCCAATAAGATTACAGTTGCATTCCCTCATCTCTCCCCTTCCACTGAGCTTGGATAAGATAAATGCAAAAAAAATTTCTACAATAAAGTTAAAAAAATACAAGTAAAATGAATAATGTTTTAACTGTAATAAATTTTTTTAAAATAGCTTGTGAGACAAAATATCCATTTTAGACGGCTTGCCTAATTATTCTGGACCACTGTCTTATGCATTTTAAAAATTTTCTCTATTCGCTTGCAGATATCACAGCTGATGCTTTAGCGCAGTTATTGGGAATTGAATCTTCTTACCCCAAGAGCGGTGGCTGTGCACCATGTCCTGATGCGTCAACTCAGGAAACATCCAACTATCAACAGGAGAGTTTTCATCCGAGAAGTATTTTGCAGTTGATTCAAAACTCACAGCGGTTTCGACGCAGCTCTAACACAAAAGTGGACCCAGAACCACAGTGCAGTAAGCATGGTATTTATTTAACATTGCACTAGATAGATAGATAGATAGATAGATAGATAGATAGATAGATAGATAGATAGATATGAATAGGTAAATATCAAATTTCTTTTGAGTTCTTAGTGAGGATACGAGTCAGCATCAATGACTTATGTAATCCACTCACAAAATAGTTAATAAAAGTTTTGAATGATTCAAATTTCATGATTAACTGCCAGCTGTTTCCATAGAAGAAATATCAGAAAAGAGATTGGAAAGATAAAAGTTTGAGAAAACAAGATTTCCTAAATAAAAATAGTTTAAGCCAAACGAACAAATATCAGAGTAGAAAATTAAATATTTAGATATACTAAATATAACGTTTCTTAAATTTATTAATCTGACAGTTCTCGAACTCTTTATCTGTCAATTCCCCTTGATTAGATGGTGAAATAAATTGTTCATAAATTGTTCATAAATTGAAACGACTTCACTATTAGAACTCAAGGTTCAAATTCCAAACAATATTTTATGATTCATTATTGTAAAAGCAAAACATGAAAGCCTTGTAAATAACGTATTTACATCTGTTACCGCTGGTCTTAACAATAAGAAACATTGAACAGCATATCAGTAAATAGTTAATTTCTAAGTCAGCAAACCTTGCTCCAAATAAATGACTTCAATCAATGAACTATTTTTCCTATTGGTTGCTTTGACCTTAATACAAACACGGAGAAATTTATTATATGAATGGCTTATTGTTTTACAAATGTAATTGTATTTTAATTAAGAATTAATGTATAGATTATTCATTGAAGCGTATCATTTATCAATAAAAAAGAATTATACAGCTGTTGATGTCTATATGTTAAAGCTGCTAAAATGTTGGCATTCTTAGATATTTTCTTTGATAAGCTGTATGATATTCAGTTGTGTAGCCTTAAATTGTCAGAAATAAGTAAGTGCAAAAATTTAAATACAAAGTAATAAATAAAGAACACTGTTTTACTGTTTTTAACTATGCAACATAGACAACCAATCAATCAACATAAAATTCTAATTTGAAGTAACAACATTTGTGTCGAAGTACGATAATCCATGCATCACTGAAAAAGCACAAAGCACTCTTTTTTCAAGAAGCCGATTACAAAAAATTAGCTAGAAAACAGGTTGTGTGTGTGTGTGTGTGTGTGTTGTGTGTGTGTGTGTGTGTTTAGCAAATTATCTTTCAGGCATGTCTGATTGAATAAATTACAAACATTATGTCTGCTTATTTTGATCATAATCCTTTCATATTCACGAATATTTTTCCGAATATTACTATTAAATAAGACAAGAAATGCACTGTAACAATGAGAATTACTTTTATTTCTCAAGTAATTTCCATCTCTTTCTGAGATCATCATCAGGGGTGCAACTGGTAAGGCAAAAACTATGTGTAGCTCTCTCCATTACTGATTGTTTTTTTTTTTTGCGTTTAAATGCTGTTCACTAGTTATGACATTCAAACATAAAAGAAACAATTCCATAATGGATAACTATTCACGTGCTAATGAACGCTATGAATTGTTACCGATGTGCACATTGCTTTATATATATATATATATATATATATATATATATATATATATATATAAAGCAGTAGAGCCCATGTTGCCCGGGGATGTAACAGTAAGAGATAGATCAAGTATCGACCATCATAAAGACTGAAAAATAAAATTGACAAAGATTATTGTTTAAGGTTGACGGACACGCATGTCTTAATTAGTTTTTTTTTTTTTTTTTTTTTTTAATTGGTCAAACCCAAACTCAAACAAAAACATTGTTTACAATCGTTATGAGTCTATCGATTGGTGAATAGAATTTTATTATAAACAATTGTCTTGTAAATGGAATTTTTAAGCATTCTGAATGTAAATAAAGAAAAAAGTGTGCAAGACAATAAAAATACTACCTGCCGAAAAAAAAAAAAGTGGATGTTTGTTTTATCGGCTGAAAAATGTAAGAAATCCGATCCCATATATAAAGGAACACACACACACACACACACACACACAACCTGGGTTTTTTTTAACCTAAGTCACTCCACGGAATCGCTAAAACATAGAGCATAGTCTGATGAAAAAAACACCAAAGTTTATGAAAACAAAATTTTATCGTCAAAATGCTTATTTTTTTTATGAAGAGGATAGACTAAATTTTTTTTTAATTTTTTTTTAAAATTTTTCCATCTTTTTAGAATATTCTAAATTTTGATTTAAAAACCTTGTTTCTCTTTGTCGCAACAAGGGGTAGTAAATAACATAGATAATTTTTAGCGCATTTTTTTTGTATTTACACACATTAATTTGGAAAATCTTGCAAAAATAAAAATAATTGTCAGATGTTAATGAAACTTTCAGAAACTATTCACAGATGATCAAAATTATTATAAATATGTTTTTTTTTTATTAAAGTCATGGCAGAAATATTTTTTTTATATTTATTAACACCCCCATAACTAATTTTATGAAAAACTCTAGAAATTCGAGACCATCGGTTTTAGTGATTACAATAGTTAAAAGCACAAGGCTTTGAAGAATGCAAATCATGTTTTTTTTTTTTTTTTTTTTTTTGGCCAACGTACCTGAAAATCAGCTGTGAATTGTAACATACAAAACTCAATAAAACAAATATATTATTTAGTTTCAAATGCTTTTATTTGTTTTAATTTGTTTTTATGAATATGGACAATATTTTCTGAAAGCAAAAAATTTTTTCAATGAAAATTGAATTTTTAATACAATTATTTCTTATTTCTTTAATTTTAAAAAGATTTTTAAAAATGTTTAAATTGAATTTTTAAAAAATTTTTAACATTAGTTAAAAGCAACATCAACCTTTCAAAATGTCCGTGTGAGATTGTCATTGTCTAGCGCTTTGAAAATTGTATAATTTGGACCAATCAGATTAGCCATGGTAATTAAGAAATGTAATTTTTGTGTTTATAGTCGGACAGTAATTATCAAGTACGGAAGACCAACCAGAATACAATTTAGTTGCATTATTTGAGTTCAGCATTGTTCTCCGCTGTTAAGCCCTTTACTTTTGCGAAACAAGTTAATTTGAGTTTTCAATTTCAACTGAGAAGGGTACCGACAAGTAACAGTATCATTTTATGAAATTTAACTACTGCTAAACTTTAATTTATATGATCTTATTTTTATATTAATCTCAGTTATGACATTTTTCCATAAATGAAATATCAAAATGAATAATAAAATGAATGGAAATACAAATAACACAGTAAAATGTAATAAATGTACATAAAATTATAGTATTTTATGTACACTTCTGATAAAATTTCATAAGAAAGGTACCTAAATTAATTAGATACCTTTTTTTTATGAAATTTAATCTCACTATTAACAGTCTTATTTTTTAATTTCTTTATATTTTCCATAAAGCATCGTAAACGTAAAAATGAAAGCTAAGTACAAAAAAAAAATAAAATAAAAAATAAAAAATTAGAGCGCTGAAAATTTTCCTTAAAAGTAACAAGGTAAATAATTTGTTCACTTAAATAATTTCACTTCCTTCCATCCGTAGAAAGAATTCTCCTCCCGTAAATCTAAACGTCATGAATGTGCCTTTCGTCAATCGTCAAGCGACGCGAAAGGTTATGACCTGCTTTGTTTTATTTTCAAATTACATTTTTCGGCGCAGAAGCTAAGTTAAGCTTGGTTCAAAATATTTTAAATAAACAGTATAATTTCTGTTATTAAAATTAGTTTTGAAAAAATGATAATTGATTTTTAAAAGAATATCAAAGTAAGATTTTAATTTTTTTATCAAATCGAAAAAAATGATTGAAAATGATTATCTGTCCTTTTTTTGACCAAAAAAAAAAAAAATATTTTAACGAAAATTTCAGACGTGCTAGGAACGATTAAAAATGTAAAAAATACCCCCAAAATACTTTGATCTTTCCTCTTTAATAATAATATGAACATTAGACGATAAAATTTTGTTTTCGTCAAGTTCGGCGTCTTTTTCATCATGCTATGCTCTTTTGTTTACATTTTCGTGGGTGAGTTGTCCCCTTTCATTCTCACGATGTGTCTTAATCGTGTTTTCAAATTGATTTTATTAAAAAACAACTGTGTTTTTTCCCATTTTCGGCCCCGTTAGAACCACCACAAGGTAATTTTATGTAGTCCTGTGAAGTTTTGTTGAAATCGGCTAAAAAATGTAGGAAATTCGATCCAACATATAAACGTTACAGACACACACACACACACACACACACAATCTGTGTTTTATAATAAGTAAGATATATATATATATATATATATATATATATATATATATATATTTAATTGTCAGTTCGTTATTCATCTCTCTCATTTTCTCTCTCTCTCTCCCTATATATATATATTAATATTTGTTTTGTAGGCTCCTATTGTTCTCTCACACACACATATTGACTCTTCCTTATCTTTTAATATTTTATGTTACACAATTCACTTTCTATTATGTATGGTTTATTATTTTTGACGACAACTGCTTAATCATGATTTGAATATGTACAACACACACACATATATATATATATATATATATATATATATATATATATATTTAAATTTGATATCTATTCATCTCTTTCTGTCTGTTTATATATATAAATATATATATATATATATATATATGTAATGCAGCTTTTTAAAATGTATGAGTAGGCGAGTTCATTATTCATCTCTCTCAATGGAGAGACATGTCTCTGTCTCTAAAGTCAGAATCTCTCTCTCTCTCTCTAAGACAAATATATATATATATATTCTATATATATATATATATATATGCATATTTTAATATGTATGAGTATAAATATAAATATATACACACACATAACACACTTATTTATATCTAATAATTACTTTCTATATGTATGGTATTTATACAACTGTTACTTAATCATGATTTGAATATGTTTTGACACACACAAAATATATATATATAAAATGCCATATCTATTCATCTCTTTCTGTCTGTCTATATATATATAATGCAGCTTTTAATATGTATGAGTAGGCGAGTCCGTTATATATATATATATATATATATATTTATATATATATATATATATATATATAAATATATATGATTTCATGCATTCACAGGAATGTCGTTTGAGCTTAATCTGAAAATTGAGATTAAATTTGTAATGCATTTCCACTGAAAAATAAAGAATAAATACTGTACAAGTTTGTGTGGAGATATCCCATTTTATTTTTGTAGGTCCACTAAATTTCATGTCTTTCCCGATGATGAACTCCTAGGCACGTCTTTGACCTGACAACAATGCCGCGTGTAAGTATACAAATCTTTCTTGTTAATGCGGCAATTGATTTTTTGCAGGATTTTCAATGAAGAAATAAAAGCAAATTTGAAGTAATGAAGAAGAAATAGAAGAATATGACTAGGGAAGAAGAAAGTGATAATATAAAATTGAGTAAAAAAGAAAAAGGAGGTGTAGGAAGAGAAGGAAACGAGGAAAAGAATGAAGATGTAGAAAAATATGAGAACTTTAGAAGTCTACAAATAAAAATGGATGAGATGAAAAATTTTAGAGGAAGGTTCTGAAGTGGAATTCCTTTCAGAGCGAAATGAAGAAAGCCTTTTCAGGAGGCATAAAAAGACGAAGAAGGATAAGATGAGAATGTAAGGAAATTTGGAAGTGCGAGGTCTATTAGTGATATACGAAGGTTTAATTGCAGAAAGAAATGAAAAGAAGAAATAAATAAGGGAAAGAGATTAAAGAGGGAACATGTAAATATGAGAAGAGAAAGAAGAAAAAGACAATGAGCAGCAAGTGAACGCTTAAATAAAGAACTGAGAAAGTAGGAGGAGGAGGAAGAAAACAAGGAAGAAGAAGAAGAAGAAGAAGAAGATTCAAGAAGAAGAAGAAGAAGAAGATAGCCATTCTTCAATATATATATAGGAAGAAAAAACCCAGAAATGTTTGAAAAAAGAAGAAAAAGGAAGAAAAATTACCAGAACGTGGGAGAAAGAACCAGAAAAAAAGAAAGAAACAAAAAGAAAAATATGAAGAAAAACAACATGAAGAAGGGGAAACCAAATAAGAATAGAAGAGAAGAAAAGAAAAAAGAAGAAGGGTCCAGAAGGAAAGTAGATACTTAAAATAAAAAGCCAGAAGAAAAAAAAAAAGGAAGAAGAAGCCAGAAGAAAAGAAGAGAAGAAAAGAGAAAGAAAGAAAAAAAATGTGTGCAAAAAAGAATATATACAAGAAAAATATGAAGAAAAGTAACATCGAGGAGGGAAGTCAAATAAGAATAGTAGAGAAGAAAAGCAAAAGGAAGAAGAGTCCAGAGGCAAAGGAGATACGAAAACAAAAAAAAAAAAAGCCAGAAGGAAGAGAATAAAAGAAAAAAGGAAGACTGATTAAAAAAAAAAAAAAGAAAGAAAATACAAAAAAAATATATATAAAAAGTAACATTTAGGAGGGAAGCCAAAAATTCGGGGACAGTTTGATCCGTGGCAGTAATTAATAGGGTAAAAAGGACTTTACGGTGGCCTAGGATTTAAAAATAAAAAGAAAAGAAAAAGGATGCCAGAAGAAAAGTAGAGAAGAAAAGAAAATGGAAGAACAGCCCAGAATGAGAGGCCAACCATAAAAGTGAAGAAAAAGATAAAAGGATGCCTCAAAAAATGAAATAATTGAAAGAAATGAAAAGGTTATTAAATAGCTATTAAGCAGAGAAAATCTAAAACAAACACAAGAGGGAGAAAATATAATGTGATAGAACAAAAGAATACGGAATATAACAGGATTCAGAATAGGAATAATAATTTTTTCTATACGCCGCTTTCTTTTTAGGTTTAGCGATCATGTCTCTCCAACGACACCTTTTTCCCATAGTTGTTTCTCCTCTGTTAAGCATCGCCTCGTTCCTTTATCTATTCACACGAGCTCGTCAGTTAGATGAATCCCTGTTTTCCCATTAGCTCTTTGCTCTCATTGTGATATGCCATAAGAAATTTAGTTTTTTAAACCCCAAATTAGTATATGTCTAATAAATAAATCAGACATCTTTCTGCTTCTGAGTGTAAGTTTTTTTTGTCTTGTCATTTGCTTTAAGAAAATAAATTGCTCCTTCACTTCGTTCAATGGTATATTCATTTTCCTTCTGTAAGAAAAAATTCCAGTTTTTTCCTCGTCCATTTGTCCCCAATTCACTGCAATCATAGCAATTCCTCTGGGATTTTGTAACGAATTAGTTTTGTTCTCAGCACCTGACTTATCTTTTTGCAACACAGGTTTCGAATAATCCAAAGCATGGACAGGATTCCGTTTTGCCTTTTCGATCCGAAATGCTAAATCAGTTCCCAGATCTTTAAAATCTCTACCTGCTTGACATCTCCAATTCATAGCTAAATATCTTGGGCGTTTTTTTATTGACCATCATGGCTTTTTTTTTTTTCTTTTGCAGTTGATGTTTAGTCTTTTTTTTTCAAAAGTTTTACTGGAGAGCCTGCCTGTATTTTTTTCATATCAAAATGCTTAACTTTTACTGTTTTAAAATTTACCCACCAATAATAAATCATGTTAGGGTCTGTAGATCCTTCCAGGAGAAATTCGATGTTGAATAAATCTGGGAAGAAGATGCATCCATGTCTTAGGTGTGTTTGTCTCCCAGTATAAGTTCCGGATTATTCTAACACACTTTTCAAATTGATAGAGTTTTTTCAACAGTTCAGAAAGATACTTTCCTTCTCCAGGGGCGCAGAAATTTGTAAAAGGAAAATGCAAGGGATGAAGATTAAATGAGTCAAGAAAAGGCTACAAGAGTTGCCAAAATAAAACACAAAAATTGATAATGCAATGAGAGATATGTAAAAGAAGATCCAAAAATTTATATATATATATATATTGATATATATATATATATATATATATATATATGAATTGAAAAGCAAATAAAAGGAGAAATTCGAAACTAGTATGATTTAAATCATCAATTTTGATTTTTTTTAATTTAATCGTTTTCATGAGAAAGGTCCGTGTGTGTTGCAAGACGAATCACGCACATAACAAAACACTATGAACAAAACCACAATAATGTCAATATATTTTTTTTTTTTTTTTTGTATGATCCACGACCCGGGTGTACAAAACACCCCCACATTATATATATATATAATATATATATATATATATATATATATATATTATACGTATCACGCACAGCTCTTTATATGAATTGAGCGCTGTGGCTGCTGATTTGGCGTACATATACATCACGAATATAATACGTTAAAAGATTTCCTTTTCAGCCGTGCATCGATACTGATGCCAAACAATCTGATGAGACGATACAGTCTTGTCTATATATATATATATAATATATATATATATATATATATATATATATATATATATAGTGTGTGTGTGTGTGTTCAACAAAAGAATAAATATATAGGAATGTAAAAAGATGAATACATAACGAGACTTCGCTATGGAACCTGATAAGCTAATGGAACATGTAGCTAAAATTTTGCCATTCATTAGTCATCACAATCAATTGTCAAGAGGGACATAGATGACCGTGGGTGGTGTAAAGGATAATGGTTCGAGCTGTTAATCTGAGGAAGGAGTTCCATTTCCTCTTTGAGTCGTCATATTCATTTACACGCAAATAACCTTGAAAAAGGTTTGAATCCACCTCTTCTCCCCCAGCTATGGAGTTTTTAATGAGAATTGTTCAACAAACGATTATTATCTCCCAAACTCTTTTTACAATCAAAAAAAATATTTTGGTCTTAAGGTAACCTGAAAAAAAATGATAAGCCGCAAAACCAATGAAAAATTTTTTGGAATACTGAAAGTTGCCCTTGAAACTGTAATTCATGCCATGTTTAAATCAGGGGAAAAAAGTCAGGATCAACAGCAGTGTAGTAATTCTGGAGTATTGAAGAGATTTACTGTCAGTTAATCTGCAGTGTTAAGATGCAGTGAATGAAGAAGATAAAGAAAGAAAGAAAGAAAAAAAGAAAGAAAGAAAGATGAAAGATCATGGAGAATGAAAAAGAGAGCCTCAAAAGGAAGAATAAAATTCATTTGGGTTCATTAAGGACATTGAAGACATTGAGGAAACTTACTGTCACTATGGATTAATTAGACTTGTATCACTAAAATCATTATTATCTTAAAAATAAAAATAAAATAAATTTGTGTACAAAATATTTAGATTTTGGCATTAAATAATCCCTAGAGATTGGTGGTTTTTCTTTAGCAGCATATCAATCAACATTTTTAAATTGAAAAATATATTATTAAAAAAGAAATTACAAAAATTTTAATGCCTGTATTGGATTTCAGAATTTTATCAAATTATTTACAAGCAAATGAAAAATATTGATATAAAATAGGATTTCTTTAAACAAACAAAATCATAACTAGATGTACTTGGGGGCTGTGAGTTAACATAGTCAAAAAACAAAGCAAAAGTGACATTACAAGGAGGTATTAACTGAACAGAATTAACTGATATATTTCCAAAGATGAATTGAGATCAGTCTACCCCATGGAAAAGAGCTCAGTTTGAAATTCCAAGAAATTTTTTGACTATATCTGAAGATGGCCAAAGAGTGCAGCAGCTGAAACATTGTGATTATAACAACCAAGATGAAGACACTTATTCAAATAGATCAATGTATAAGTCAAATTATATTTAATGTTTGTTTCTTTGGCTGTTTATGGAAATATTTTGATGAGAAAGTGTTCAACAGGATTTATTGCAGTTCTCAAGTGATTAGGTTTAATTCACTTGGTAAATGGAGGGAAAATACTAAATGTTGCAAGAATTTAAAAGACCAACATCTCCATATTGTTGATTTGCTTGTTATTTAATATATTCATTCAAACAGGCTTCTGGGGGGTATGTTTCTTTAGAGTCACTTTTGCAGCAACAATAAAAACATATCTCACCATGGAAAATGGCTTTTAACTCGTATTGTAAATATTCATTGTATTTTGGTATATTAATATCTCCAGTTAAATCATACATTTTAGATGCATCAAGGGTGGTCTTCAGTGATGCACTGTTCTCATTGCCGATTTCAGGTTTCGCATCATATCGGCTCCAACAGCAACCCCGACCTGATTCTAGACGAGTCAGGCCACCTCCTTGAAAGTGTCGTGCTATGCACCATGACATTACAAAAAGCAGTAATCATAAGAACTAGCAAGGCCGGACTTTGACTGTTCTTATTGACATATGTCAATCAGCGTCAGCCAATGAAAACAGGGCTTTTCACACTCCTCTACTATATACTGTTGCCTTTTTACTTCATCTGGTTTAGATTTACTACTTCTGGAATACATAACAAGGTGAGCTGGTATCTTTAATTGGTATCTTTATTGTTTAAGACCATGTCTAACATATTAAATACTAATCCCATAGCGATATTAAATCTTTAACTAAACATACATGCATACCCAAACCAAATCTATCCTATACTAGCACTTTCTAAAAAGAAATTTGCTATTCTATCAGGTCAATCTGTAATGCTTACCTTATAATCTTATTCAAACAAAATCTCACACACACACACACAAAAAAAAAACCACAATTATATTCAAAATAAAATAAAAATCAAGTGTAGGCAGTTTATATTTAAAAAATCTGTCCAATGACATATATTCAGTGACATAAAGCCAATAAGATGTGTCTTGACATCTTGTTGTAACAAGTTTGTCTCAAAAACCATTATAACTGTAAAGTGACTGATCCTAATTGGAGGTGCCAACACATTTGTGGCAAATATCAAAATTGAGCTAAATCTGATAAATACTCATAATTCCTGTTTGTTAATCAAGCCCATTTTTTTTTCAGAGTTACCTTAGTATTTGATATCTTAGAATCTTTTGATGGATACATGAGCTAATTGCTTGTATAATTGTCAACTTTAATTACAATTCAATCTTGCCATTTTCAGTGTAATATCAAGTTTTTGTATAAGAAATATAATTAAAAAGTATATTTTCTATTTATCTTCATCACACACACACACACACCTCATTTTATGACAAATGATTGCAGCAATGGCTGAACTTCTGTTGCTTTTATCATCCTTCATCATAGAATAGCGTTCCACAGCATTTGGGATAGATATCATGATGTGTATTATTGTCTACTAAAGTTAAAAGGCATGTAATTTTTCCTAAGATGAAAATAATCATAATTTATATATTGAATTACATATTGAATTAAGTTCATTAAATTAAAATGCTACAATAAAGGAGGCATAATGTCACCATCACTTGTAATCACTCCAAACATCTTCGTAATCACCATTAGACTCCTCCAACTCTCTCTGAATCTTCTGCACTGTCCTCAGTTTGACATCCAAACACTCTGAAATATTCATATTGGAGCTTCCAATGTGAATGCTAAGCAGTACATGCCATTTTCAAACAAGGTGAACTGTTTCATGTGCCAACTGACCCTACTATACAGTACAGTCAACAAAGTCAAAAACAAAGAACACACAGGCATGGAATTAAAGATATAAAATGGTGACAATTTACCCATCGCACCCTGTATATTCAATTTTTTTATTTCTCTGAATTATTCAGGCTCATATGCTCATCTTTGTTGTTTTGATCATAATCTTTCAGCCCATCGTTTCTCTTTTTTTTTTCTTTTTTTTTTTTTTAAGCGTTTCACCCCAAGCTTTCATTTCAAGCCATCATTTATGCCGATGTGCCTTAAAGGCACGTCAGCATAAATGATGGTTCTGTATAGGATGCAGGTTCGAATCCTGTCAAAGGACGAATATTTTCTATGAAAATTTCTCGGACATTCAGGCCGGTAAATGTTATTTAATACTGTTTATTATAAACAGAGCATTTACTTAAATACTTGTATCTATAAAAAAGAACGTTAAACATAAAAATGTCTTTAATAAATTTATATATATATATATATATATACACACACACACACGTTTCATTTTCATCTTTCTAATGTAGATTTTGTTCTTGTGAAATAAATGATACCAGGTCATTAGAAAAACATATCAAAGTAAATATTTTCCAAATTGTTTTAAAAAAATAAATACATGAGGGGGATGGTGAAAGCTACTTTTCATAATCTGACCAAACATAAGATTTCTTCTTTTATAAAATCCCCATTGTATTTGCATTGAGAACTTTTCAGCACCCCCCTCATATCAATGAATGATCAGTTAAACTCATTGAAAGGGAAAATCATGAACTAAACATTTCTATCAGAGCCACAAATATGATTTTGTCACATTTTTGTTCTTTTAAAATTTCTAAGAGTCAAGATTTTATATGTTTAGCAAAGTCTAACATAAGACCACATGAGTGGGACACACAGTGAGAATCAAATTCATTATACTAACAAGTATTTGCTAGTTAAAATTACTTAGCATTGTTTAACAGGAGATACCCAAACACATATGTAAGCACACACATGTACACACATGTACACACACAAATATATATAAGTATATTAATAATGCTCACCTACTTGTCTCCAAGCAAACCTGTTTGCTAGGGCAGCTAGCTAATCCCTGTTGAAGATGCCTACTCAAGCACATTTATGTTTGTTCAACATCCAAAGAGCCCATCTTTGGTTTATGCTGCAACTATTTTGACCAGATTTGTTACAGTTTCTGGAAGAGAGCTTATAAACTGGCATCATCAGCAGTTTGAACAAGGCTATTACATTCAAACCCTCAGTCACAATGACTTGTGACTTTGTGCTAATACAGTTATCAACGACTTCTGAACAGTTTTGTCTACTCATCTTCATTCACAGTGCTGTGATTTTCAGACACTTTTCAAAAGTGCCACATGCTAGAATTGCCATCACAGGCCAATATCATGTAAAAATCAACTTCTTGACAGTTTAAGTGAGATTTGAACTTGGATCTCATATTCAGAAAGCAAACATTTTAACAACTTAGCCACACACCAATATACAAAAACACACACAAACACACATAGGTGTGTCTGGTATAATAACCAGCTACTCTTGTCTTCCAAGCACAAGCTAGGTTGAGCCCCCCCCCCTGGTTGATACTGCAACTATGCTGATAGAGAAATAGTTACAATACTTATCTCACAGTTATTCTTACTGGATATCATGCAAGTTTAATTGTAGTAAGTTTAGTCAATATATTCATTATATATATTTGTATTATAGACTTTGAGGGAAGTTCCAATGATTTGAAGATAGACCAATACTTACATTGGTAGCCTGATTATCAAATATCTATAAAACTACACAACCATTACAAACGAATGGGGAAATGCACCCCCTCCATTTCCTTGAAAGATCAGGAAAAAAAATAAGAACATCAGAAACCAAGAGGAGGTTGAATCATTCATTGATAGACAATATTGTTTCACTTTCACATAAAAGGAATGTGGATCCATTGTACCAAAAATACATAAATTCACAGAAGCGTAAAGAATTTGAGTGAAAGGCACCAGTGTCAGAAGATATAGCTCAGAACACAAGATCTCTTTTTTAGTAATACCTACCAACCTATATGTGGTTGTTAAGCAGTAATGTAGGACATTGTCTCACCTTTCCAGCTGAGATCCTATCAGCCATTTTGTGTCTTGACCTTAGTATAGGGTCATTTATTTCAGGAAAGGATCGAATTGTTGAATTAACATTTTTGTTTGGAGAAAATGTTGATTGGGCTTTTATGAATGTAAACTGGAAAATTATGAAGATTTGCAAGAAAAATAAATGAGATATAAGTGGAGAATGAATAATTTTTCTATCAAAGTTGGATGTTGAATTAAGACTGTCCATGTTGATGGCATTGATTGTAAGCCTGAGTAACTGTTGGCAAATTAGCATACAAAATTAGATGCCATCAAAACAAAAGGAATGAATAGTAAAAACTCAGGATCAAATTATCATTGTTTACATCATTTTCTCCAGCAACGCATACATTGCAATAAACTCTCTTGATCTTAGTCATACAATTACTGGCTATTATTAGTTTTTTATTAGTAAAGGTAAAAGTTGTCAGCATCATCTACTTGCACAATGTTTGAGAAATCTTAGAAGTTTCTTTTTATTGCATCTGCAATCACTTTACTATAGTACAACAATTACAATCCTTAGAAAAAAATTCAGAAGGTTGGAAAATGGGTATCACATAAACCTAAAGCAGATGAACTTTGGTCAACATTTTATCTTCTTGTCTTTAAGTCAGGGAGCTAAATGTCATTTTGGAATAAAATACAAGCACAATCACTAAATATATTAAGTATACAAAAATTTCCATTTTTTTTTTTTTTTATCAAATAGTTAATATATAACAACTAGTACATATATTTATTAATTACCAATGTCAATTTTCTATGACCTTATGCCAATGTTCCAAATTTTCAAATTCAATTTTGAGAAGTAGCATTGATACAATATAACTCAATATAAATTTTGAATCTTAAAGACATTTTGAGAAGATACAAAATGTTGCATTGATTGGGACAAATGATAGCACCAAGTCTAGTGAATGTGCTATGTAAGGAAGAATTTTTCTTTTCTCTCTCAATGCAGGATAAAAGAACATTGAATAAAGAACACTTACAATCAGTCTTATACTGTTTATTCATTCAGCCTCCACTTCTCTCCCAAAAATGAGGACAAGGGAACATTTGCAAGTGCTTATTATTTACTAATTCTTATTTTAGTTTTGGTATGAAGAATAGATTTATTACTAGAGTTCAAGCTGAAAATTGAGGTTAGTGTCCAAGTTCATCTTTAGCATGTCAGTCTGAATGGAATGTCTTGGATCAGGATTTTGTCAGAGTATTTGATGTGATTCAAATGTGGACAAACAGTTGCAGCACAGCAATCTGTTTCTTTAAATGACATGTTGTAAGAGACGTTATCTGATCAAGTGACAGTTTCTGTTTTCATACTGCAAATGCAACACAGCTAATGATCATGGTTTGGGTTTATAGGAATCCCCCACCCCACTGGGCAACATATTCTCCAGATCTGTCACTTCCAGATATTCACTTTTTGAAACTTGTCTGCTTACCAATTCCAACAATCTGAAAATATCAAAGAATTAATTCAATCAAAACTGGAAATCTTTTATGGCAGACTGAACAATTTATATGAAAAGGGATATAAGTGAATAGAAAATCAGGAATATTTTAATGACAAATAATGATGCTATGAATTTACATGAATAAGATATTTTACTACAAAAACAAAAAAAATTAAAGAAAAACTAACCTTGGTTGTTTCCATTTGGGAATATTCCAAATGATCTCCTTTTATAGTAATTTAGAAAGTTCCTCTCTCTTTAAATCCAACAAGCTCTTTATTATCTTGGCTGTCTTATATTCAGAGACAAATTGCTTTCAGTTCCAAGAACATTCTTTAGATTGTGATATTTACACTATTTACATTGTTCAGACTGTTGTCCTCGTCTTGTCATATTCAAAACATTTTGGCTGTTGTACACTTTGGCATTCTTCAGGTGATATACATTAGAATTTTGAATCAAATCCTTTTAGTCCACCAGGGTATATGGTTCTAGTTCCACATGAATGCCTTTTCTAAATGTCTTAGTTTCAGTTAATTCCCTTTAGTAACTCAACTCTCCAAGTTTTTGTTTACCTCTGTGGTGGCCAGGTATTGAACTGACAACTCTTTGGTTCAAGTCACTTTTGGATTACTTCAAGCAATGCTTTTATCTACTGGGCCATGTGAAACTGAAATATCCAGAAAAGGCATGGCACATGCAAGCTACCCTGGTAGTCTAAATAAAAGGTTCAGTTCCACGGTATATCCTCTGAAGAAGGCTGGCGTGTACAACGGCCAAAATGTCATGGATATGACAATAAAGATGAGGACAACAGATCAAACAATGTAAATATTGTAAGTAGTTAAAATATTTCAGAAATATAGACATGATAATATTTACTTATCCAAATATCTGTCAAATTTGTAAAATTCATGATAGCTAAGTTATTAAAAAAAAATAACAACAGACAAGAAAAAAAATGCTATAATATTGTAGTTTGGTTTGCTAGTTCTTACAAGCCATTGTCAGTGAGTTCTTTTTTTTAATATTTATATAAATATGTTGATGTTCAATAAATATCTTTTATTCAAGATCACATGTTGTAGTGATACAGTCTTCATAATAAAGTGTGGATTGAGAGTCCATTCATCAATCAGTGCATGATCAATGTGATTTTTGAAATTATTTTCTTTGTTCAATAGGCATTTCAAACAATAACTGACGCATAAATCAATTTCTATTGTGATATCATTTTTGCTTTGTTACAAAAAGACAAAATTCTAACATTTGCACTTTTTGTCAATTTCAGGCTCAGTTCACAGATGAGGAGCATGAAGCAATCCAGAAAGTTCTTCGTCAAAGGCTGGGTCCAAATTTTATATCTCAGAGATCAGGTGCTGGAGGTCAAAAGGTATTTTTGTAGATGTTTAGTAAATTGAGCATAGTTCATCATTATTTATGAACCTTTGCTTAGTCTGGCACAAGGATACAGTATGGGGTTCTTTGTGGTAGCTGAGCTCACTTATTCTTCTTCTATGTGCCATGTTCCTTCAGAACATTGGTGATCATGGCTCTCCACAATTTCCTATCTTTTGTAGCACTTAATAACTTTTCTCTTTTTGCCATCTCTCCCAAATCATGCTCTGGTATCCATTCACTTAAGCTCACCAAGTAGGTTGACAATTACTTTCCTTTGTCTCTCTTATCTTCATTCTATCCTGTGAGTATCAAATTTTGCAAGCCCTCTTTCTTCATTATGTGCCTCAGAAATTTCAACTGTTTCTTCCTGATATTAAGCAAATTGGTTTCAAGTAAGCTTGCTAGCTATTTTTGGCTGTCAAGAATATTATTTCCTAAAGATGGTTTCGTCATGTACAAGGTTTCTGTCTAGGTGTCCTACTGGAAGAGAATGCTGATAATTGTCTGATATTAAATGCCAAAAAGCAGTACTTTTATTTACTTATGAAAACAAAATAATTCAAAGAAATATAGACTAGCACAAAAGAGAAGCAAGATTGTTGAATGAAATCAGATTGATAACAGAAATAGAAATTGAGTAACATTGATTATTCAAATTCTTGGTAAGGGATGTAAGAATGACAAATATATCACCAAACAACTTTAGGAAGTTGCTTACCTCTGTAATAGAAAATTGTATAACTGTTATGTTGACCTCACAACAGCATGTTACCTCACATTGATAGAGATTGTCTTTTCTCATCCATTAAAAACTTCCTTCCAAGCTCTGAATCCACTGAATTCATCAATGAAATAAAGGAACTTTATAGGCTACAAAATCTTAAATGTCTGGTGACGGTTCCAATATAGAAACATTTCACACCTCACCAGGGTCAGTCAGTTATGTGCCTTGCATGATACATGCTTAGGTGATTATGGAACTTTCGATACGTGATTGATGAGGCAGATTTTTCCCTGCAGTAGGTTGCTATTTCTTTCTGCAGTAGACCAATTGCCATCCAAGGCTATAGAACTCGGTCTGTCCTGCTATTTACCCATAGCTGGGGGGGGGAGAAGAAGAGGGTTCATACCTTTCCCAAGGGTATTAGCACGTAAGTGAATGTAATGGATTTGACTGGATTTTGAACTCAGCTCTCTGATTCCTCAATCCAAGCCATTATCCATTACTCCATTTTTAAGGGATTTTAAATTTGTTCTTATGTCTACACTTGAAGATCAGTTCATTCCATTGATTTAACAACTGGTTAGCATTTGTTGCAATTTTTTCTTGTATACACAGATCACATCTGCCCCGGAAGTTGTTGGGGGTTTGAGACCAACGGATGATTTCCCATTTGATTAGTGACGTGAAACCACTATCTTTAATCTTCTAATAATGCTTGGATAGAGCGGTTTGGTATCTGAGGAAAGCATTGGAGACGGAATGTCTGTAACTATATCGTCTTTGTTTCCAATTTCCAGCAGATATCCCTATGTATGTTTTTTGTTGTTGATGTTTTCTTACAGAAAAATGGTAGCTTGGTATATCACATTTTCCAAATTACAGGTATCTCCAACTGGGCAATTGGTCTCGGTTTTACAGTTACAAGAGGGCTTGTTTTCTGTTGATTTGCCATCATGGATGCTTTTAGTATTTGGCTGTTGTGTGTACTAATAATGCTCTGCATATTTTTGGTGCAGGAATAACTAATTTTGAGAATTTTGCTATTGAAAATTTTCTGTAGAGGGTTATTTTGATTAAAGTGTTTGCCGACTAAGTTTAAGTAATGTCTGCCAATATTTATATTGGATAGCTTACAGAAAGTGGGGTTGAGCCATATTATCTATCTTTTTCTGTTTGTGGTTTTACTTGGTATTCACTTGTTATATATATATATATAACCATTACACCTAATTTTAAATGCTATTTTTAATGCTGCTTTCCTATGTTCCACTTGCCTTCAATCTGTGAGTGTCAAATTTTCTAAGCACTCTTATGTGCCCTAGAAATTTTAATTTATGTAGATTATAAAGGTTGAATGTTTGTGTGTATTTTAAGTGTGTGCCTGTTTACATATGATAAACAAAGAAGCAGCATATAAAATTTAGGTTTCTATGGGCCATTTATTCTTTTTATGGTTGCTGTAGTGAAACAAAATTCTCAATATCTCTGGGGGTATGTCTATTTTCCTTTTTGGTTCAGAAGTAAGTTAGGGTAACAATAGTTCAAATGGTCAAGTTCAAATCAGTTTTACACTGATTTGGAACGGCCAATTCACTTACTTCATGAGTAGGGTTAGTGAAACACATCTGAATGCTGTCATTGGAAAATGGAAAAGAGTTCAGTTGTCAATGGATCAGGGAAACTAACGTTCTTCAGTGTGAATGTAATTACCACATGGTGCTACAACTTGAAGCAAGGAGGAGAAAAAGAGTTTTTATAGACTTCAAGAGCACCATCTAACAGCGCTTTTCAAAGTCAAGTGATCATATTCCTGGTTCCTTTACTCTTAGCATCATTGGAAAATATATTTCTTTTTTTATCATTCATTATTATTATTATTTTAATTTATTTCCCAACGATTCTGATTCTAAGTATAAGTGTTCTTTTTGTTTCTATTTTCTCTAAAACTTATTTGTTACTCACATGTTCAGCACATAGTATTCTTAGCATCCTTCTGTAGAACCATATTTCTGTTGCATGAAGCCTCTTATTCATCTATGATTAGATTGTCCAGCATGTACAGTTTTCAACATTTCTTATACACACACACACAGAGTATCTGTAGAGGAGACAAAAATGAATAAAAAAAGACAAGAGTAAAAACTATTCTTAGTTGATGCGTTTCATCCTCTGAGCAACTTTATTAAGGCAATGTAAGATTTATTTTGCTGCATGTGTTTATATACAAAGGCAAGAATGTCATTACTTTATAAAGGCTTTTAAATTTGAGAATGTTCATGAGGTGGTTGAAAGGTCAGACAAAGCATGTGGAGGACACAAAGTATAAGTTTATATATATATATATATATTATAAATTTACTAATTTAAAAATACGCTTCCATCGCTACACAGGAATTACCATGTTTCAAAAACAAACTAAAAACTTCAAATTTAATTATAGAATTAAATTAAAGTTCCTAGTAATGTTTCATTTCAAATGAATTTTGCATGGTAATTCCTGTGTAGCAATGGAACCATATTTATAAATTAGTAAATTTATAATATTTGTGCTTTGCAGAATTGTATTGAGCACTGTTTTTTCAAAATAATGAATAAGAACACCAGATTATAAATCTTACTGTTCTTTCTCTTTATTTTAATATATATATATATATATATATATATATATATATATAAATCAAAGCAGTCCCTATGAGTATTACTTCTAGATCTGTATATATCCAAACAAGGCCTGTCTCTTTGGTTCTTTATTATATTTGTATATATATATTATATAAAGGATAATCAAAATTATATAATTTTAATTAAACAGACCATGCCAAAGTTCACTCAGACTTGTTTGGATGAATATGTGCTGCCTAAATATATTTTATTCATGCATATATATATATATATATATATATATATATATATATATATATATATATATATATATATATATATTCAAAATAACTAACAGTGTGTGTTTGAGCATGTTTTTAAAAATCACCATCACAACAGAATGCAGATTTTTATCGCAGCTACAATAAGTTTGTGTTTTTAACTTAGCCCTGAAGATGCTCTTAGAAAAGATCAAAAGTACTTGGGTTAAAGAAAACTATGCCGCCTTCTTTGATGAATTCCATCTTGCCATCAAGAAACTGATTAGACAAGTGGAAAGGGTCAGTACAAAAAAAAGTTGACACAATATATCTCTTTTGTTCAATGAAACATGTTTGAATGAAGATATGCTGCATATATATATATATATATATATATAAAGAGAAATAAAGAGAAAAGTTGTTAAAATCTTGTGTCAGTGATGTCCTGTAGCAAATAAATGCAATTTATATTTTTAAGATTCTCTGAAATTCATTTATTCTTGATTTTTTACTTTATTGCTAAATTTGCTTTCTGTTTTAGCTCCTTATGCTTTTGAATCTAAAATTAACTCCCTTCCCATTCATATTTGTTCAAGAACCCTATCAATAAATAAATCAATAATCAATAATGCTCTCTTGATTCCCCCTAGTTATTTTTATTAATTTTAGCTTTTCTGTCTTATTCCTAACAAAAGCCAGGAAATATGACTAGACATTGATACTCTATGTAATCATAATTAAAATAAAGCTCTTTGAAATAATCGCACACGAGTTATTTCCCTTGTCTACAAAGCTCCTCGCAGATCAACACTCATAGTTTCATTTAGGCTCTGTTCTAATTAGAGATCTCTTTTAACAAATGCCAGCTTCACTTTTTCGTTTATCAAATAGGATTATACGTTAAATAAATTTTTTTAAAAATTGTTACATTTTTTTTCTTTCCAAATTGCGAGAGATATTTTAACCAATCTTTCAAAAAACTTTTCTTTTTTTTTTTTTAATATATCTTCTTGCAAGAATATAGTGATAAGTGATGTTTTTCTGACTTTCGCTATCTGGAAGGTCAACTGTCCCCTTGACATTTAAAGAAAGTTGATGTACACAAGTTATCAATGCATATACTGTTCTCTCACCCCCACAAGCAAAATGTTCTCTGTGTATTTCTGATTATTAACAAAATCAGTTTTGTTTTTCATATTTTTTAAAGTGTCACCCTTGTTTGTTGTTACATTTTACTTTGGCTTTGGATTACTTACTTTCATTTTATTGACTCTGTTTTCATATACTTTGCTTTTACTAAATCATAAAACATTCTGAAAAATGTAATTTTTTTTTAATGCTGATATGCCTTGTAATTTATCCTTGAATAAATTTCAGAGAATGTGTTATCTGTTTCCATTACTTTTTAAAACATTCACCTGAGACCAATAATTTTTTTATCATTTAAATATTGATCAGATTCCCTAAATGAATCAAATTTTTTTTATTGGTCTCACAATCTAGGAGATGATCGAGTCTGCATGTGAACTTTTGTCTTTGATGACATTTCAAGGCCAAAGAAGGATCCTTGGTAATATCCATTTCCTTTTCCAAGTAACATAGGACAGATAGTACTGGGTTATATGGTAGCAGCAGCTGAGAAGGACCCAGGAAACTGACTGCACTTTTCTCTATCAACTGTCATTTTATGGTATTGAGAAAACCTTTTTTTTTAAGCTATACGATAGGGGGGGAGAACACAGAAGTGTGTCCCTACCTTTTTTCAAAACCATTAGGACAATATGAACAAATGGTGCTTCAGCAAAAATCTGAACAAAGGTTATCTTATAATGTTGAGAAAATTAAATAATTTTATTTCATAAGAGTCATTAGGCTTTGTCTCCTTTGCTGTTCTTAATACAACATTCAGGCAGTTGACTCTTTGTCTTTCTTAAGCTGTATGTTACATTCCATTTTTTACTTTCTTTTGGTGTTAACCAGAGAACCACACACTGAGGAACAGGGGAAAAAATAATAAGTGATATTTAAAGGCTAGCAAATGCAATATGCTGCTGAAGAAGGCCAAAGTATAGATTGGCTGAAACATCTTGGGAAGAACATGAAAGATGAAGATGTTACTTTGAAAACTATTTCATCACTCTTTTTCAAGAAACAATTTATCTCTTCTTTTTATTTATTCCAGTTGGCTTATATTGAAGGTTGGCGTATCATCAATTTGGCAAATGAAACATTTGGTTTTAATGGCTGGTCCCACTCAATCAGTAATCAAACAGTTGGTAAGTTAGAATCCACTTGTTCTTTAATCATTTCAATAAGATTTAATTTTTATTTACATATTTAGGAAGTTACCTGATTTTGACTGAGTTTTATTAGCATTTGTGATTATCTCATTTTATGATGTGGGAATTTGATTTTTTTTTTTTAATTTCCTTACATCTAAATAAACAGCAAATTTTGTCTGTCTGTCCATGTGTTTGAAACCTCTCTAACTTGAGCCATACTTGCTCTACATAGACATATTATACCTTTTTGGAATCAGGATGATCCCAGGATTGAAAATCTGCACTTCATCCAGCATGGGATTTGTGTCTGGATAAGAAGAGAACAGTTAACAATTCAAATTTTAAAATAACTGAAAAAAATTTCTGATTTTAAGTTTTTAATTTAGATTGAGTTTAAAGTAACACAAAAACTTTGTGAATATAAAAATATTTATTTTAAATTCAGTTTAAAATATCTCCAAAACTTGGTGAATTGAGAAAATCAATTTTATTTCTTCAAAATGCCAAAGAATCACAGTTAAAGAGATTTTGTGATATGAGGCTTTGAAGGTTCACAGAGTTTGTAATTTGAAGAACTCAATTTTTTGGCCTGAATTGGAATTTTAGCCTAAATTGAACTTTTAGCCCAAATTGGTCTTTTGCCTGGAATTGGACTTATAGCCTGAATCAGAGTTAGTTAGGTTTTGTAGTTCCATAGAGTGAATTGAGGAATTCAAACTTATTTCTTCAAAATTATCATTGCTGCTTTCTAAGCTGGACCAGAGGTCCCTTTATTTTTGGGCTAGAACCCTAGTTAGCCTTCCACATGAGCTAGTTTAAACGTTTGCATGGAGTGTGGCTTTTAAGCTAGTTTACTATAAATGGTGAACAGGTTGTCAAAATGTTAACAAAATTAACAATTATTGATTTAAATTAGAATCAAAACAATTTTTAGAAATTTTTTATTAATATAATTTATATTGCAAATGACCTTAAGTTCTTTGCTGTTTTCTAAGCTGGACCAGAGGTCCCTTTAGTTTTGTGCCAGATGCCCAGTGAGCTCTCCACAGGGGCTAGCTTAAAAGTCTGCATGGAGTGTGGCTTTTAAGCTAGTTGACAATAAAAAGAGATTTTTTTTTTTCACTTTTTTTTGCTAAAATAGAAAAAATATTTCCTTTAAATTTTAATTGCACAAAATTGACTGTTAACATAAACGCCTTAGTATGGCTCTTCTCCTCTAAACTTGTTTTCTTCTTCCTGAATACAACATAATAATGGGAATCTAAATAAAACCTATCATTGTTCAACCTATTGCTTTACCATTGGATTTAGTTCTGGATATGATGATAAACTACATCTGGCAGCAAGGCCCGTGATTGGGAGATAAGAAGTTTTGAAGAGCATGGAACAACTTCTTAATTGCTGTTGTTCCCAGATCCACCCAGGGCCAGGGTGGTAGCACCTGTTAGGGTCCTAACTATGGGCAAATAGTGAACCCCCAAGCAAAACACTATGAAAGATGTCAGCAATACATTTTTATATATAAAAAAATTACCAACAATACATACAGTGTGCGATGGATAAATTGTCATCTAAATGATGCAAAAATGAAAATAAAACTGACATCCCATCTTTACAGTTATATTTACCAAAATTACACAAAAATATTTAGACCTACTAAAGAGTAAATTCATTTGATGAAATAGCCATTGGCTTTAACCACAGCCTCCCAACAACTTTGGAATCTCCTGCATCTCTTCTGAACAGTCTCCTTGTTTAAGCCAGTGAATGCTGACATAATCCTTGCCTTCAGTTCATCTTTGGTGATACAAGGAGTTTTGTTGGTCTCTCACTCAACTGTTCCCCATACATAATAATCAAGTGGGGTTGCAGTCTGCGGAGATAGGTGACCAGATGTAAGTAGTGATGTGATTGCTGAAATTGTCTGACAGCCATAACTGGTTTCTCCTGCTTGTGTCGCATGGTGTAGAGTCCTGTTGACAGGTATATGGTATTCCAGCAACCATCCTCTTGACTCATGGCAGCACTACCTCCTGAAGGCACTTGATGTAGGCCTCCGTGTTGAGTCTTTCCCAACAAATTCAAGAGTTCTTTTAGAATGATTATAGTGAGTTTTCTGAGCTGTCATATCATTGTAATCATCATTAAACCCATCCAACTCTTTCTGAATCCTCTGCACTGACACCTAAACACTCTTAAATGTTCATATTAGATCTTCCAGCGCAAATGCCAAGCAGTACAGCATGCTGTTTCCAAATTTCTGGCAGATTGAATTGTGTCATGATGCTCTTTAACTCACTGACGATGCCCAACTGACCCTAGTATACTGTGCAGTCAACAAAATCAAAAACAAACAACACGCATGCACAAAATGAAAAATATAAAATGGCGACAATTTACCCATCGCACCCTGTATAGTAAAGTTAACAATTTCATTTTTAAAGCAAATGGAAGTAAAATGAAAACCAAATTTAAAGTAAAACGAAAGATCTTAAATGGCCTCCAAATTTAAAATTTCCTATTCATCTAGCACCCACTATCATGTCCTATTTGAACTCTAATCATTCTGCCATGGGAAATTGCCAGTGGATTTGTACAGCTCTGGGGTTTTCTCCAAATGTGGACTCTACATTCTCAAATGAATGTTTGAGCCACTCCATCTGTAGTGGGTATTCAGATATCTATCATTGGTTCTTTCCCACATGTACATATCCCAGGTGCAGCTGGGCCAATCAGGTTTTCACATGCTGGGTGACTTGTAGATCTTTACAAGCTAGAAGTTCATTCCTGCACTTGGCTTCTCTAAAGGATACATAATGCAAAGTCTATTCTTGCATGATCTAAAGCAGTGGATCTCAACATTTTTTTACCCATGGACCCCTTTCCCCTTCTTTTTATCTTGGTGGACCCCTTCATAGCTATTGGACATAAGAACAATTTTCTATTCTTCACTAATATAAATTTTAAGGTTTTAATTATCAAAGAAATAGTATACGATTAAGCTTTATTTTTAAATGAAAACTAATTTAATACAAATAAAATATTCTACTATAATTATAATAATAATTATTATTACTATTTTTAATTAACACAACAATTGAGTTTTGCCTGTGGACCCCCGGAAATATTACATGGACCCCGGTTGAGAACCACTGATCTAAAGCAATGGTCCTCAAACTTTTTTTTACCCATGGACCACTTTTACTGTTAATTTTTCTTTTTGTTGACCCCCATAACTATTTCATAAAAAAAAAAGTTTATTTTATTTTTTACTAATAGATAAGTTTACGAATTGTATTATAGAAATAGTAAATGCATATGCTTTATTTTGAAGTAAAACTAATTTAATGAAAATAAATTTGTATTTAACAACTAAATTCTATGGAATATTTATGTACACTAGTATACGTGAGTAATTAATAATATTTATTAAGTAAATTTATTTTTTTCAAATATATCTGATATGTAGAATATATCACATTTAGTTGTAAACAATTGTTATTTGAGCTGGCTGTTATCCAGAAATGAGTTAATAACGTCTCAAAGTGTAATAAAGTGAAGACAACAATTCCCCTTCGATTAAACACTTCACCTCAGTATGCATTTCACAGCATTCAAACTGTTTGCCATTTTGACTACAGAATTCATGAAAGAGGATTTGATTTAACATGGTTAACCACTTTTATCACAAAATTCAGAGCATCATGCAGACATCCGTCCAATTACTTTGCAACTAAGTGCTGATGGCTTATTACACAGTCTATGCAAAATACTTTTGAGAAAGCCTTTTTTAAGTGTGCAATAAAACCTCTGTATCTGCCTATCATGGATCGAGCACAGTCAATAGCAATTATATTTTTGAGTGAATATTGCTTTCTTTGAAATAAGTAACAACTTCATTGAAAATTATTTCACCTTTTGTGTCTGTTCTAAGACATCGGGCAAAGAGCATTTCATCTCTGAGTAATGTTACAGGGAACCTGGTTGAGAACTACTGACCTAAAATGAGACACATACTACAATTAACTTATGTCGTATCAGTGCATTAACATTCCCTTCTGTCCCCAATAAAAATAACATGCTGAAATTGCTATATCAATTAACATTCCAGCCCTGCAAAATATCTGTTAATTTTCAAGGCCACCCTTCTGCCTGCTTTGTACACTTTGATTGCAGCAACTTCCTAACCTCATCTGCTATTCTCAACTAAGCTGGGTGAATACCAAATGGACTTAATGTGTTCACCATAGTAAAGCACATTCTGTCGACTCTTATGCCACTTACATAAGGTAACCAAAAAAGTCCTTGGCATTTTTTATGTTGTGTTGGAAGAAGTGATAACTGATATAAAAATGAGTGTGTCACTTGCCAGGAAAATTGTGGGGGTGGGGATTTGCTTTGACCAGTGCAGATGCATTGTGACAACACACAACACACACATCAAATTAAAATAAGCTGCAGTGATGAGGAAAAATATGGTGCTGTCAAAGCATTTTGTCATTTTTTTTGTCTGCACCACCAAGCAATGGTTTCAAAATCAGGTCAATCTGTCCCAGATGTGATGAAAAACCACATGTGGCCAAATTTCTTTTATCATGAATGATGTAGTTCTGAAGGCTGCCATAGAGGAGGACAACAGCCAAACCTGTGGTAAGCTTGTCAAATACTTCCAGGTTTCTGATGAAACATTCAGACTTCACCTGCACTGCATAGGGAAGGCGTATAAATTGAGCAAGTGTGTACCGCCAGACACTGTTGAAAGCCAACAAGTGGCAGCCTGTTTCTTGTTGCTCACCAGTAACAAAGAGTGTGTTCTGTATGACACTCCCAAATGTGTCAGACATTGGTTGTCACCACAGGACCCTATTATAAAACCATCTCTACACCCGCACAAGTTCATGCTTTGTATCATGTGACTAGTGGTCAATTTGCACTATGAGACCAGTGATCAAAACATCACTGCAAACCTGTACTCATTTTTTAGAATATGTTCAACAGACATTGAAGCAAAAAGTTGACATTGGTTAATCACCTTTGGGTGTACTGTTCCTTTATAGAACAATGCCAAACCTCATGTGGTGTGGGCAATTCTCAATTAAAATATGGTGACTTTGGTATTATTAGACACTTTATACACCTTACTTACCTTGCACCAACAGATTACTACCTCTTCCATTCCCTGGACATCCAGCTTTGTGGAAATCCTTCCCAAAAAGGCAGACTTGTGGCAGGCAAACACAGACGTTTTGCATCCAAGCCATCTGATTTTTACTGCCAGGGCATTGCACAGCTGGAGGTACGTTGACAAAAAGTTATGGATGCCTATGGGGATTACTTTGAGTATTAATGGTATGTCTATTTGCTGAATACCTTTTATTTTCTAAAAAAAATAAAAAATGGCAAGGACTTTCTTGGTTGTCTTGTAGAAGGTAGTAGCGTTCTTTTTATGAAATTTTTCAAACCCCCTATTAATTTTTCACTTTTTTATTCTTTAAATGATTTACCTCCCCCCAATTTTATTAAGACCTATTATTGAGTAAAATTCTGACTAGTCTCAATTATTAAGACCTCTTTTTTTATTAGGTACCTAAAAGTATAAGACCATATTTTTAAAATATGGAACAAAAAAACAATTGACTAAAAAATGTTCACCCAGTACATAAAATAAAAAAAACCACTCAAATTAGAGATGAAGTGAATGAATTTATTGCATGGATCTAAAAGGAGAAATAAGTGAAAACTATGAAGATATATACAATAGGTAACGGTTAACCGTAAAGTCGAAATGGTTACGATTGTAGTGATCGAGAAAGTATCCTCTTGAAAACCTGTTTCACTTGTGACGTAACACGTGGAAAAGGACGAAATGTTAAGATCCAAGGAAGACAACTCAAATAGGAGTTGCTTCCCTTGTTTTTATTTTTCCTGAGATAATCAAAAAGAGGCAAGAAGCAAAGATTTGAATTCTCTTCTATTACAAAGTTATTTCCCTTTAATTACTTGATTTTTGACAGTAAAACCATTAATCATTTTGGTATCGACTGAACAAGAAGTTTGTTTTTAAGATCATTAAGAACTTTTTTGGACCAGTTAAAACATCCGACCGAGAAAAATATAAAATTATCTTTAAAATTGATAAACTATTAAATATTTTCTAAAACTAATCTGCTCAAAACGAAATCAATTTAAGAATGTTTCATATAGTATGAATATATTTTATACTCCTTTTAGATCATATAATTAATTTTTCTATTTCATTCCATATTCTATATATATATATAAATATTTTTATTTTGATTATCTAGTTTGGTTAAATAGTTTAGACGTGAATTTGAGAGGATTAAAATTCAAATAAATTTCATAAATGGCTAAAATCAATTTAACCAAACATTAATATATATATATATATATATATATATATATATATATATATATATATAGGGCACATTGGAGGAATCATTGATAGCAGTTTGAATTCCAGCTGAATCCATTAGATTCACTTACATGCTAATGCCTTTGGGAAAGGTATGAATCCTCTTCTTCTAAAGCCATGTGTAAATAGCAGGACAGACTGTGTTCTATAGCCTTGGAGGGCAACTGGTCTAGGAGAAGGACAACACTGAATTTAAAACCTGTGGAGGGTCGTTTGGGGACATTGTGGCACATAATGCACCAGGTCTCTGTATTCAGCATTTTAAAAAGTGTGTTTGGTTCTGCACAAAGCTTTCACCACTATAATCAAAACATATGTGCTGGTGTCTGGCTGTCGGTTCCTCGGAACTGAGCTGCTTGACCCTCATACATCGAATACGACAGGAGAGTCCACCATATATAAGTAATCACAATACGTAAAATGATGGTACTGTATTAAACAGTACAATGAAACCAAAATAGCTTATGGGATTGCAGTAAATGAAAAGTCATTATTGCTCAAAATAGACAAAGTTACTATTCAGTAAATACTAAAAATATAATAACTAAAAATGGCAAAGATAAGATTTTGCAATTTAAGGATAATCATCCATCAATTAATGTTAACATGTTCAATCATTCAATAAATTTAACTATGCTCCACACAGGCATTAGTGGGCAGTAAGCAGAAATTAATTGGCATTGTCATAGGTCATTCTTGTCCCATAAGCATTGGTGAAGAATGAAAAT